AATATTGCAATGATACCAATTGAAAATGCTACAGGCACCAAGTAGAAAACCTATGGAAATATTTAAAGCAATGTTTAATATGTCACAAGTATTTTTCAAAAAATATGTTTAATATGTCACAAGTATTTTTCAAAAATCAATAACCCATCTAGTTTAAAACTGCAAGTTGACCTAGAAAATGTGAAGAAATGAATTTTTATTTATGTTCCCATTGCTTGTAACATTCAGCTTATTTTACATTGATTTCATTTCAGAAATTGTCTCCTGCAATATGAGGTTAAGCCAATCTCCATCTTTACAGATGTACAAGGAGTCCCTGGTGTTCCTGCCTCCAGGCTTTGAGGCTTGGGACGGTTCAGTGACAGAGGTTCAGTGAGAAAGATAAGACAGCCAGGTATCTTGGTATTACATTCAGTCCTCAAAGTACTGATTTCGTTTTGAATGCTGGAACTCTGTCAGATGGTTGATTTCTAAAGCTTAGTTATCAGTGCGAACCACTCTGTGCAAAACAGCAGGGCAGTGGGTCCTATCTATCCTTGTAATCACAGGTATATGAACAAAGAACTTAGCATTTTGTTGCCAAGTAGAAATATCATATTAAATGCTGAGAAGTTTGCCAGAAGATGCACACAATGAAGGTGGTGGTAATTTAATTTGCAAGGTGGAGAGGAATCCCCTAAATTGGAATAAGCTCCAGATATAAGACAACAGAATCCTAAAGTACTAAGTAGACCTTCACAGAAGTATGTACTTGAAATTTTCTTAACATTAAACCTCCTATTAAGTCCTGAGCAGTCATTACTATTCTTTTAGATTTCACTTCTACAACAAATACATTTTAGACCTCACTGGATACAGTAACAATATAGATATGCAGTTAATTACTCTCCAACCCTTTAAGCCAGTGATCTTGACAGCAACTCTGACAATTTCACCATAATCACCAGGCACATGGGTACCCATCCTGGGCTTTCGGCCAACATTGGTATGTTTGGAGTCTAGAACAACCATCTGAACTTGGGACAATTTTATGCAAATGAGGGAGCTATCAATGAACTACATCCCTTCTTTTTCCTACTAATCTTCTCTAATGTGTCATCAGCAGGGACTACTACTTCACATTTTTCACTATTAATTAAATTTTTATAAGCTTGATTGTCTGATACAATTAGGTAAGGATATTTTGCTGCTAAGCTTCTGTTCCTCCACAGTACTGGCTGTCAGACTTCAGTGTGCTTAAAATCACCTGGGGGATTTTTTTAAAAATGCATATTCTCCATGCTTCACTCCTAAGATACGAATTTAATAGATCTGGAGTGGGGCCCAGGAATCCGCATTTTAAGTGCCCTAGAGAAACTGATATGGTCCAGAGAGATGAGGGCAAGTAGTTATCTTTCCTCCAACCCTTGGATGAAGATAAGTCTGATTCAAGTCGTTTTCTTTATATCCCGACTTTGTGATAATAATTTGAACAAACTAGAGTAAATAACTGTTCAACAGAAAACTGATGTCTTCTATCCAGATTAATCTGTTATTTCCTGCAATGAATGACCTAAGTTACTCACCATGTCATAAATGAAGTTTGTAACCCAGTAGCAGGTCACACCAATGCCTGAAATGTGCTGCAACTGTTTAGCTTTGGTTTGATGTTCTCTTACAACATAGGTGACAAAGCTGGCGGTGGTGACAGAGTAGCCCATCAAGATAGACAGTGCCACTAAAATATCAATTAAACTGCTGATTCTAGAGTGAGCAATAGGGAGAGAAAAACACATAAGTTTTTGGCACTCTTCCTTGCAGAAAGATTCATAACTAAAACCATCAACAAAACAGTACGAGTTGGCTGTGACACAAATAAGGCATCCTACAAGGCAGCAGATAATATCTCCAACATGACTCTGCTGTGACCCTATAGAATAAATGTAGTTCTAGTGCATCTGAATTGACTAGGGATATTTGATAGAAAAACCTCCATCTGCAAGGGTTACACAGTTGATGCAAGGGATATATCATTCTTGAGCATAGAAACCTACTTAATTGCCATGCAGGGAAGTTGAAACGATGCAGCACTTAGCACTTGACTTATAAAAGCAGCAAACGCTGTGAATCTGGAGTCAACAAGCTCTACTTGGCAAGCCCACTCTACACTCTTTCAGAAACTTCCTTTTATCTCAGTCAGTGACATATTACCCGCCCTTCTAGATTGACATTCATTCAGATACAATTGTGATTTCCAATTACAGCACTTTATACAGAGGCTCAGCTATGTCAAAAGAAAGTAGTCATGCTAGAGATGTCTGCTTACGTGGCTTGTTCTTGGTCTTGCACTCCTGGATAAGGATGGCTATACATGATGATGCCTTAAAGAAGAAACAGTTCTTCTATTAGCGGGTATTTAGTTAATCAGAAATACCAATTTTTAGATGAATAATATTCAATACTTTCCTCCTTATGTTATTATCTAAACAATTTTATTTGGGGGACTTTTTTTAAAGGAAAATTATTTTCTCCTAATCCCATTAATGCCATACAATTGGTGGCACTCACATAAAAAGAAGTTTTTCACATTGTGTTTGGAACCTTTGAGAAGGGAACAAGAATTTATTTCTTATATTGCATTTCCCTCTAGTCTATTATATTTAAATAATTGTGTTCTATTTTCTTCCTTCTATGTGGTCATATATATGTTTGTATTTCAACAGCACTTCAGAAACATTTTACATTTAAATAAGCAATTCAAAGGGGGACCAATTATTTACATGAGGATCCCTTAAAAAGCACAGTTCCTTCCCCCAGCCCTCCTTAGTGCAGTGTCTGTGGTGGGGAAATATGATAGCACGAGTGGACTTTTCCTTCCTCTTTATTACTTCTAAGATGCCTGTTGTTCTAGAGCTCTTCCAGAGCGGGGCATGAGAAATTCAGCCATACCCAAGGCCTTTTCATTGAGACATAAATGTCTAAGAGGATTCAGAGATATTAGCTGACTTCAGAAAAGTGATCACTTAATTCCAATATGGTCCCAAATTGTTGGGATCTCCCAGTGTTGCTTATACTTGAGTAAAAAGAAGGCTCTTTTCTTCCCTTCCTTAGGGGACCTTGGTTAGCCAAAGTCAAAAATGGGCTGTCAACAGTTGCCCAAAGGAAAACAATGTGAAGGTAAAGTCTGTACTGTCTCAGCAACTGTGGAAAAGAATGGTAGGGATGACATTAAAGATAGCTCCTAAATACGTGTTCCTATAGTGTCGTAAACTAAGTGCGAACTTTCTCACTTACTGTTCATATAGTATTTGCTCATTGTATTAGGATGCTAAGGCCCTTGCATAGCACTGTATATTACAGAGATTCTAAAGGCAGATTCTCTCAAGTTACATTTATAATTTTCATTAAGTAGAATGTGACATCTTTTTGAGTTCTGCAACTGTTATACATTAAAGAAAAAATGCATAGTTAAATTAGCAAAACAAAGAAACTAACAACAAAACCCAAGTTGATTTATAATATTAATCACATCATTGGAGGGATATACTTTTCCTATCTTTTATATAAATTAATGGGCCTTTTTTTTTTTAACTTGAGATTCAGTTTTCCTAGGGGCTCTACTTAAACCCTGATGCTAAATTATTATACAGGCAAGGGATAACTGTTATTTCTGCTTTGTATTTCAGAATCAAGAAATACTCTTTCACCAGAGGAATCCTTGCAAATACATATTACTTCACTATGCAAAATCCTGTGGAACCAGTTTTTTATACATATTTTTAGCTGAAAGATCAAGGAAATGTATCACAGTTGGAGACCCATATTATAATTATCTCTGTAGGTTATACAGTATCCAGCATCATGTCCAAAGTAGAGGGAGTGGTCAATAAGTGCTTTTAAATGAACTCAAATCCTAAAATTTCAATTAATATTGCTAATTAGATGCTTCTCATGGACCACTGCCTCTAATGCAACAAAGTAAGAATAAACACTGGAGTGGAAGGGAAAATGTGTTAGTATTCTTGAAAAAGAGGCTAGTTGTATAACATTTGTTAAGGAAAACAAGCAAAGCTGCATTTTTTTTAGAAGAAAGAGCAGAATTTTCATGTCATATTAACCACTAGAGGGAACCACATGAATATAATAGATATTGACATTGCAAAGGAAAGCTAATTAAAAGATTTTTATTAGCATGTTAGAATTCAAAGAAAATCAGTTTTACAGTTAAAGTCCAAATTCATGCAAAATCTAACAAAGATGCCTTCAAACAAGTAGTGTGTTAGAGGGAGGCAGCGGGAGAATAATTGGGTTGATTTTTAAAACCAATAATTTTATTACAATGGTAGACCTCATACATGCATTAAGAAAGAATAAAAGTAAGTTAGGATGATGTAGATTTCATCTTTGAAAGAGATCATGTTCCTTCCAAAGAGAGTGGAAACTTATGACTTCTATAAGTTTATTTAAGAAAAATTATTAGAGGCTAGAAGACATGCTATTACTAATTTCTATATAACTCAAGCTAAATCTTAGTTTTAATTAAAGTAAACTTCAGTTTAGGGTCAAAATCAACTTTATGTTCTAGAATTCTTTATATTCTGTAACTTAAAATGTAATGTTAGGAGCTACAACAAACCTGCTGGAGTCTAGAGTGACTCAGATTTCCTTGGTCACAATAAAGAGCACTAATTATAAAGGAAGCCAGAATACAGGTTTTGAAAAGCTGACCCTTCAAAAGCAGCAGGGGTCTCTTGTTCTCTTTATCTTTGCTACATTTTCCCCGTTATTTCTATAGTTCTTATACTTTCATTATCTGTCTCAACAATAAATGTTTTTTGCTCTGAATAAAACACCCTACTGAAAGTACAGTGTCCAGTAGTATTTCACACCAGGTTACACTAGACCCAACTCACTTCAGTCACCATTTAATTTAATTTACCACTTTTGACTTTTATCTTTATTGATGCTGTAGATCTAAGGACTATCAATCTTGTTATTTTCTTCTTGGTTCCTCCTGCTAGGAAAATGCCAAAGCAATTGGAAAAAAAAAATACCGTTTTCTCCGAAATGAAGACTCCTCAAGATCCTGTTGCTGGATTGAGTATTGGACTCTTCAGTCTACTTCTACAGTCACCATCTGGCACACACTATGATGCCCAACAGTAGGGAGGTGAAAGAAAAGTTGCTGTTGGCATTTCTAAAAGATATGTTGTATAGTTTTTCTACTTTATAGACTATTTATTAAGCTATAAATCTCAATTTTGGCAAGCAAATGTATTCCCCAGCTTTTCTTCATTTTTAAAAAATTTTATTTAGGGTCAGCATGGAAAAATAATTTGAACAAAGCTCAAGAGGATGAGATGGTCTGATAAACAGTAGTTGACATATATATATATTTTTAAAGATTTCAATCCTTATTTTTAAAACTATTTGAAAACCTTTTGTGAAACCCAAATGAAGTAGGCATGGCTGAGTCCAGAGGAACAGTGTGGAAGATTAGAAAAATGAACAGGCAGGAGACAGACAACTCTGGATTCAAACCCCACTTCTAAGCCTTAGAGAAATAATAGTAGGGGATAGTAATATTCACCCTGAAGAGTGCTGTAGGGATCATCAATATTTCACTTACTCTAAAATTGATCACATAATCAGAAGTAAAACACTCCTCAACAAATGCAAAAGAACTGAAATCATAACAAACTGTCTCTCAGACCACAATGAAATTAAATTAGAACTCAAGATTAGGAAATTCACTCAAAACCCATACAACTACATGGAAATTGAACAACCTTCTCCAGAATGACGCTTGCACAAGTAATGAAATTAAGGCAGAAATCAAGAAGTCCTTTGCAAGTAATGAGAGAAAGAGAGAATGCACCAGAATCTCTGGGACACAGCTAAAGCAGCTTTAAGAGGGGAATTTATAGCACTCAATGCCCACATCAAACAGAAAGATCTCAGGTTAACAACCTAACATCTTAACTAAAAGAACTTAGAGAAGCAAGAGCAAATGAACCCCAAAGCTAGCAGAAGATAAGAAATAACCAAGACCAGAGCTGAACTGAAGGAGATAGAGACACAAAAAAATCCTTCAAAAATCAATGAATCCAGGAACTGGTTTTTTGGAAAAATTAACAAAATAAACAATTATCTAGACTAATAAGAAAGAAGAATCAAATAATACAATCAGAAATGATAAGGAAGATATTACCACTGACCCCACAGAAATACAAACAACTATCAGAGAATACTATAAACACCTCTATGCAAATAAACTAGAAAATCTAGAAGAAATGGATAAATTTCTAGACACATATACCATCCCAAGACTGAAACAGGAAGAAATTGAATCCCTGAATAGACCAATAATGAGTTCTGAAATTGAGGCAGTAATAAAAAGCCTACCAACCCAAAAGAGTCCAGGACCAGATGGATTCACAGCTGAATTCTACCAGAGGAATAAAGCAGAGCTGATATAATTTCTACTGAAATTATTCCAAACAATTGAAAAGGAGAGACTCCTTCCTAACTAATTCTATGAGGCCAGCATCATCCTGATGCAAAAACCTGGCAGAGATACAAAAAAAAAAAAGAAAGAAAATTTCAGGCCAGCATCCTTGGATGAATATTGATGCAAAAATCCTCAATAAATCAGTGGCAAACTGAATCCAGCAGCACATCAAAAAGCTTATCCACCACAATCAAGTTGGCTTTCATTCCCTGGATGCAAGATTGCTTCAACATGTACAAATCAATAAATGTGATTTATCACATAAACAGAACTAAAGGCAAAAACTGCATGATTATCTCTGTAGACACAGAGAAGGCCTTTGATAAAATTCACCTTCCTGGGCCAGGCACAGTGACTCATGCCTGTAATCCCAGCACTTTGGAAGGCCGAGGCGGGCAGATCACAAGGTCAAGAGATTGAGGCCACCCTGGCCAACATGGTGAAACGCTGTCTCTACTAAAAATACAACAAATTAACTGGGTGTGGTGGCATGTGCCTGTAGTCCCAGCTACTTGGGAGGCTGAGGCAGAAGAATCAAGGGAGCCCAGGAGGCGGAGGTTGCAGTGAGCCAAAATTGCACCACTCCACTCCAGCCTGGTGACAGAGTGAGACTCCGTCTCAAAAAAAACGAAAAAAAAATCCCTTTATGTTAAAAACTTAACAAACTAGGTACTGAAGGAACATAACTCAAAATAATAAGAGGCATATATGGCAAACTCATAGCCAATATCATACTGAATGGGCAGAAGCTGGAAGCATTCCCCTTAAAAACTGGCACAAGACAAGGATGACCTCTCTCACTACTCCTATTCAACACAGTATTGGAAGTTTTGACCAGGGCAATCAGGCAGGAGAAAGAAATAAAGGTATTCAAATAGGAAGAGAGACAGTCAAATTATCTTTGTTTGCAGACGACATGATCCTATATCTAGAAAACCCCATTGTCACAGCCCAAAAGCTTCTTAAGCTAGGATAAGCAACTTCAGCAAAGTCTCTGGAGACAAAATCAATGTACAAAAATTGCTAGCATTTCCATACACAAACAATAGGCAAACAGAGAGCCAAATCATGAATGAACTCCCATTTATAATTGCTACAAAAAAGAATAAAATACCTAGGAATACAGCTAACAAGGGAAGTGAAGGACTTCTTCACGAGAACTACAAAGCACTGCTCAAAGAAATCAGGGAGAACACAAACAAATGGAAAAACATTCCATGCTCATGGATAGAAGAATCAATATTGTGAAAATGGCCATACTGCCCAAGTAATTTACATATTCAATGCTATTCCCATTAAACCACCATTGACATTCTTCACAGAATTAGAAAAAAAAAAAAAAATTCATTTGGAACCAAAAAAGAGACTGAATAGCTAAGAATAACCCTAAGCAAAAAGAACAAAGCTGGAGGCATCATACTACCCAACTTCAAACTATACTACAAGTCTACAGTAATCAAAAAAGCATAATACTGGTACAAGAAAAGACACATAGACCAATGGAACAGAATAGAGAACTCAGAAATAAGACCATCACACCTACAACCATCTGATCTATGACAAACCTGACAAAAACAAGCAACGGGGAATAAGGTTCCCTATTTAATAAATGATGCTGGGAGAACTGGCTAGCCATATGCAGAAACTTGAAACTAGACCCCTTTCTTACAATATATACAAAAATTAACTCGAGATGGATTAAAGACTTATAAAAATCCTAGAAGAAAATCTAGGCAGTGTCATTTAGGACATAGGCACAAGCAAAAATTTCATGACAAAAATGCCAAAAACAAAGCAATTGCAACAAAAGCAAAAAATGACAAATGGGATCTAGTTAAACTAAAGAGCTTCTGCACAGCAAAGGAAACTGTCATCAGAGTGAACAGGCAACCTACAGAATGGGAGAAAAAATGTGCAGTCTATCCATCTGACAAAGATCGAATATCCAGAGTCTACAAAGAACTTAAACAAATTTACTGGGGGGAAAAAAACATTAAAAAGTGGGCAAAGGACATGAACACACGCTTCTAAAATGAAGACATACATGCAGCCAACAAATGTATGAGAAAAAGCTCAATGGGATTCATCTTTAGAGAAATGTAAGTCAAAACCACAGTGAGATACCATCTTAAAATAGTCAGAATGGCTATTAGTAAAAAGTCAAAAAACAATAGGTGCTAGTGAGGTTGCAGAGAAAAAGGAGCACTTTTACAGTGTTGGTGGGAATGTAAATTAGTGTGGTGATTCCTCAAAGATCTAGAAACAGAAATACCATTTCACTCAGCAATCTTATTACTAAGTGTATACCCAAAGGAATATAAATCATTTTGTTATAAAGACACATGCACACACAGCTGGGTACGGTGGCTCACACCTGTAATCCCAGCACTTTGGGAGCCAAGGCAGGTGGATCATGAGGTCAGGAGTTTGAGACCAGCCTGGCCAAAATAGTGAAACCCCATCTCTACTAAAGGTACAAAAACTTAGCCGGTTGTGGTGGTGGGCACCTGTAATCCCAGCTACTTGGGAGGCTGAGATAGGGGAATTGCTTGAACCTGGGAGGTGGAGGTTGCAGTGAGCCCAGATCGTGCCATTGCACTCTAGCCAGGGGAACAGTGTGAGACTCTATCTCAAAAAAAAAAAAAAAAAAAAAAGATACATGCACACATATGTTCATTGCTGCACTATTCACAATAGCAAAGACATGGAATCAACCTAAATGTCCATCAATGATAGACTGGATAAAGAAAATGTGGTACATTTACACCATGGAATACTATACAGCCATAAAAAGGAACAAGATCCTGTCCTTTGCAGGGAGATGGATGGAGCCAGAAGCCATTATCCTCAGCAAACTAATATAGGAACAGAAAACCAAATGCCACATGTTCTCACTTATAAATGGGAGCTGAATGATGAGATCACATGGACACATGGTGGAACAACACAAACTGAGGCCTGTCAGAGGGCAGGGGATGGAAGGAGGTAGAGCATCAGGAAGAATAGCTAATGGATGCTGGGTTCAACGCCTAGGTGATGGGTTGATCTGTGCAGCAAGCCACCATGGCACATGTTTACCTCTGTAACAAACCTGTACATCTGGCACATGTACCCCTGAACTTAAAGTTGAATAAAAATAATAACAAAATTAAAAAGTAACCACTAACCTAAGTAAAAAAAAAAAAAAGTTTTGTCATCATATTTAGATTTGTGAACAATATTTATAAACATTGTTTTTAAAAATCATTTAGCTTATAGACAAGCACATTGTTTAAAAATATTTTTCTGTGAGCTATAACTACTTGGTTGACAGCATACGTGCACTGAAGTCAGCATTATTATCCTGATTTGATAAATGAGAAAACTAAATTAACCTGAAGGAGATTATCCAGAATGTTCCATCTGGTGGTAGTTACTACTTCGAAACTCCATTTAAAGACCTGTGATTTAGATACCACAAAATACCTGCCACTGTGAGGAAACAGGATATAAAGTGCATTTTTATAGGGAGAGTAACAAAAGTTATGATACAAGATACTTTTGTGTTAGTAACTTTACCATGTCGGGCAGCATCGTATTTTGACATGTTAACTCGCAGGAGGAAATTATTCAGGCTGTTGAGGTAAGCTGGAAGGGAGTGATAGCCTTCTGGATCATACCATACCTATTAAATTCCGAAAGAAGGCAAGATCAATATTGCATTCAAATAAATTAGGCTGTCTTAACATCTGACAGGCTACCTTATTTATATTTAAAAGCATCAATTTTCCAATAATTTATTTTATCTTGGAAGATTATCCACTATTCTTTAGAGTGTTGACCATAGGCCTATAAATCTCCAATTTAGAAGCAGGCAGAAATTGGGAAGACAGTTGTTCTGTGGATAGCACTAAGTTATTAGTTATTCAGGATCTCTTCTAGGCAAAGCTTGAAAGAAACTGGAGAAATCATTATCTACATCCTTGTGTCAGATCCATGGGATCCTGAGACTAGAACTAAGGTATTCTGGCTGTCAATAATGGTAATAAAAGCTAATGGAATAGACCAAACTGGAGAAAGAAATAAAATACCCTTACAAGCATTGTGTCCTTAGCAACAAGATTGAAAACTTGA